TACAGTTTATATCTAGAATATCAGATGAGAGACAAAGTCCAGAAACCTACGCATCCAAAGTGAATTGTGTACTGTACTTAAACACAACACCGTGTTCCTCCCTAATTCCATCACGAACACTATTCGTGCATCAGTAAAAAAAGGCTTTGTCTGTCAAAACACAGTATAACGTTTAAATATTAAAACAAGATAAAAATGTAATATAGTTTATTGTATTTTTGTGGAATATTTAACGACGTGTCAGAATCTCAGGCTTATAGCGTCCAATGTTAGGATAACCGGTGAATAGAGTAAACCCTCGCTAATCCGGTTACAGTTAATCCGGATCGAAATATGAAAAATGAAAAATTCTCTTCATAGTTGAGTACACACTCTAAAAGACACGTGGGATTTAGGAGCAAGACGATTTTAAGATTGTGTTGAGGGCAGCTGGAGAGACTGAAACCACGCAAGAAAATATACATTGGCTTGAGCTGGATGAAGGAGACCCTGGATTTCAGCTTCTGAGAGAGGAAGAAATTGCTGCTGTGATATTTTGTATTTATTTCCATCAGAACTACCTATATTATTACATTTACCATTTATTTGTTTTCTGCCTATGTGGTCTAGTGGTCAGAGTTCCTGGCTAAAGATCCAGAGGTCCCGGGTTCGATTCCCGGCCCTACCAGAATTTCTGAGAACTAGTGGGTCTGGAACGGGGTCCACTCAGCCTCATGAGGATAACTGAAGAGCTGTTTCAAGGAGATAGCGGCCCCGGTCTAGAAAACCGAGATTAATGGCCGTGGGGATCCGTTGCGTTGACCACGCGACACTTTCTATCAGCAAAAGTTGGTACTAACTTCGCCGACAAGCGACGGTCGTTCGGTCGGTATGGTTCGCTTTCTGACTACAGATCACAGTGTTTTTCTTTTGTTTTCTACGTTTTTTTTTCTTTTGGGGCTATCTTTTTCTTCATTAATCTGGATTAATGGAGCAAAATCACCCCATTAGTCTGAATTCTCGAGTGTTTGCTGTAATGAAAACGAAAAGGATTTGGAAACACGCTGCATATACGTTGGGGATGGAGAAAAATCACGTAAAACCTCAGTCAGATAACCGGTACGCGTAGCGAATTACCAATTCGGTATCTTCTAGATCAAATCGAGAGTGTCAATACTATCCCAGCCTTCTTAGTAAACTTCCTGTATTATGAAAGAGGTTTAGCAGAAGTGAACGAAATACAAAAACGTACAAGCAAAATTCGAATTCATATATGGACGCGTTGCATGAATGTTTTTTTAATTCGC